TTTCCAAACACATTTTGACTCGACCCGCGAACAATGCCTTAGCCCACGAACTCACAAACATGGTTTGTGTGTCGTGTTTTCGGCTAACAAACAGCATCATTTATACTCAGGTAAGCGCGCGGTGAACAGTGTTTGTCACTATTCTTGATACAATGACAGCATGAAAATTATGGTTAGCCACCGAAGCAGCAATCGAACCACTTTCCGGGATGGAGTCAGTCAATAGTATGTCCTTTGCAGAAACTCGCTCTCATAACAACAACCCCTCCCCTCCCCTCTCATCCCTTCCCCTCCCCTACACCCCGAAAAACGTTTCGATCACAAGCAAGATGTCCCGCGTCCAATACACCCATCTGGAGATCATCCACCACATCCTGCACCCATCTCCTCTTTGGCCTTCCTCGACCTCTCTTCCCATGCATATACCCATTTTGTTCTCTCTCAACTTTCGTGACGTTTCAAGTGACCAACATATTTCTATGTTCTGTGTTTTATCATCTTTAATAGCCACCCTTCTTCAATACTGAGTTTTTGAAGTATGGACTCATGTGTTGTCTTTACCCATGATATTCTTAAAACCCGTCTATAACATTTGCAAATAGTTATACGCTCTTCGGCTTGTTTAGTAAGTGTCCAGGTCTCACAGGCGTATGTTGCAATGGGAAAGATGCAGGCTCTTAGAAATCTAGTTTTTATAGTTCTGTCTGTCCCACCCTAAAATTTTTTCAGTTGTTTTAGTCTTTGAAGAGTAATTAATAGTCGTCGTTTAATTTCTTTCATCGTGATACAATTGCTGGTAATCAATGAAGCAAGATATTCAACATTGTTTACAACCTCCAATCTTTCATCATTAACATATGTTTCTTTCTTCATGGTAGTTTTATCTGTATGCATTATCTTTGCTTTTGCCACGTTTAGATTTAAATTGTGATTTTCAATATTTCTTTTGGTTGAGGTTCTACGTTTTCTATACTGGTCTATGATGTGGATCCTGGAATGCAAGTCCAACGTTATCATGGAATGGGCACTCACCTTCAAAGGAGCAGACGTCCTCCTCCCCCTCTACCACTTACATGTATCAGCAAGTATCAACCACGTAGGTCAAGATGCACTGCAGATTTCTTAACTTTTTCACACAAATATCCATTTTTTTTTTTAAGTATTCAAATATGTTGTTCTGAGTTTGGCGAACGGATTAATCGGATCTGCATTGATTTCAATTCGATTCTCGAATAGCGGCAAAGAATAAGTTAGGTTCATGACCATATATAAATGAAATTCATTATTGCGATAATATTGTTGTTGTTGTTACGCACTCCGACTTCGAAAAAAAAACTATCCATAATTAGTCGGCTTTTACGACATACTTGTTGGGGAGTAGTGGGTCTGCACACTCCCCCCCCCCCTTTTTTCCCCAAAACCACACCGGGGGGGGGGGGGGGGGGGGTAACATGAACAAAACTTCTATTCCGGTTTGAACCTATGCATGTACCCAGTTAGCATGCATTATTAAACAACAACTCTGGATTTTTCGATGGCTTACAGTTCGTGTTAACGAGGTTTGACTGTTTTAGTCAGTGTTTGTGGCTTAGGCACCGCGAAAGGTCCTTTATAATGCTGCGTTGGATCCCAGTTGTAGGTGACTGGGCAGCAAACCGCCTTGCGTTGGTGTCAACCGTAGTATTAAGAGCCGACCGTTTAGTATGCAATCACAAACTGCTAGACGTAAATTTTCCTTGAAAACACACAACAGCAACAACAGCAACAACAACAACAACAACAACAACAACAACAAAAATGCTTAGGTTGGTTCTTCAGCGTCCTGCAAAAGACATACAAGTAACTTAACTGTGGTTATTTTAAACACTTAAACGAGGCAGGCCCCTCTAAGGTTCCTCTAGAAATATTTTTTGGGATGAATAACGCCCCCCCCCCCCCCACCTTTTTCATGTTTTCTTTCTGTCGACATCCCCTACATGTCACCCTACGTGCTTAGCATTCCGCATTGACTACTCTTACCCACAAGTGGAAGAACGTATCCCACGTTCTAAAATCTCCTTATCTTCTATTTTTCACAGCTACTTTCCCGCAGACGCATTTTCCGCTGCCTTTTCAACCGATTCAATCGATTGGAATTTAATTTCTTTATACAGGGACTTCAACTCGCGTCTTAGAATAGATTTTGGCGTGGTTTTGAGTGGATTAGAAGCCATTCTTAGTTTGTTTTCTTTAGATTCATGGCAATAATTTAATGGACCACTTGATGCTCCAAGTAGCCGACCCAAGAAAAGCGTGCGAAGAAAGAATTCGTTTTGAAACTGCGTCATCCATGTTGAATTTTTGAAGATACCGGAAACGGAAGTACTGTTGACATTTGTTCTCGCAGCTGAAACACACACATTTCTACACAGTAATTACAACACAGCTTTTATGGTGTTGCTATAAATGATCAGCTAATCTTTGAATGGAAGAGTTCTCACAACTATCATTATCATGTGCTTTGGTTACTGACGTGGGCGGCGGTGCTCTTGTCACACCTTGCTATCTGCAACATCTTGTATCAGCTCATTTTCAAAACCTCTAAACGTCACAAGCAATATCTCGTCCTTCCCAATGCTTTGTTTCATAGTTCCATCAAGCTGTCACAACAAATTCTTTTTGCTTATCACTTTCTTCCTTCATCTCTTCTTTCACAATCTATTCGAGCTATCACAACATACTTCATTCGCTTCTCATTTTATTCTTTTAACTCTATCGTCTACCAATCACAACATATTATTGATGAAAATAAGCAAAAGGTAATGGTCCGGTTTCCTTCTATGATACTGAAACTGTTGCACAGGATGGTATGTCGAACCCTACTTGACAGGGAGTTACTAATCACACAATATAGCTTATTTTCTTAACGTCTTCTTCTATCTCTCTTTCGATAATTCCGTCCAGTTAACGGACGTACGGACGACAGACAGACAGACAGACAGACAGACAGACAGACAGACAGACAGACAGACAGACAGACAGACAGACAGACAGACAGACAGACAGACAGACAGACAGACAGACAGACAGACTGACAGACAGACAGACAGACAGACAGACAGACAGACAGACAGACAGACAGACAGACAGACAGACAGACAGACAGACAGACAGACAGACAGATTGACGGATGGATGGATAGTTGGATGGATGGATGGATGGATGATTGGATCGATCGAACGAACATTTATGTACATGTGTACATACATACAAATACATACAAATACATACACACATACAAACACACATGCATGCATGTGTACATAATACATACATACACACACACATACACACACTCATACACACAGTCACCCGCACAGACACACTCTCACTAACACACTCTCTAAGACACACACAGCTATACAGACAGACATACACACACACACACTCACACACACTCACACACACACACAAACACACACACAACACACACAGGTAGCCGCACAAAAAGACACCTACAAACACACTCACGCCGACGCACACAGAAATAAACCCACACAGACACACACACGCAGCCACAGGCACACACACACAAATACCTACGCACACGCAGGCAGGGAAACATACAGACACATACACACTGACACTTACTGGGACATACGCAATACTCACACATACACTATTACACACAGAGACACGCACACAGTCACATACGCAGACACATATACGCACACAGACATATACGCAGACACATAAACCTACACAAACAGAGACATACGCACGCACAAACACAAACACCCTCCTCGTTCTCTTCCAATTATTATTATTATTTTTACTATTATTATAACCTTGCAGTTTTCCCCTAACAATTAATCGCATGGGAAAGTTACCTATTGTTTTACTATTGAAAAAGGTGAAATAAATATCTATCGTCTTCGTCTGAGATAAAGACAAAAATAACGATCAGAATCCAGACTTATAGAAAAGAAAAAAAAAAATCAGTAATATTATTAGGAACTGCACCTGGTCAGTTTGTCTGTGCGAGTGTGAAACTTGGACAAGCAGTAATGATATCGCGAGAGAGCTGCAGGCAACACAAATGGAGTATTTTTCTTTTTCGCAAATTGATGAGAATGTTGGTGAGGAAAAACTTGTTTTTTAATTTGTTTTTGGCCCTCACTTTCTGTAAATAAAAGCGAAAGATGGTTCTGCAACTCTAAGAGAGAAACCGAAAACACGACGTTTGAAAAATGAATTTAATGCAGAGATTAGTTCAAGCTCTTCATGCCAACTAGTGATATATCACCTTACTAGGTTTACCGGGCAGGATATTCATACACATACACAGCATCTTTTGCCCCCACACGCACGACCACACACGCACGCAGACTCGCACGCATACACACACACACACAAACAGATGCACTCTCAAATAGACACATCTGGTGCCCCCACACGCACAAACACGAGAGAGAGAGAGAGAGAGAGAGAGAGAGAGAGAGAGAGAGAGAGAGAGAGCGCACGCACACACACACACACACACACAAAGGCCCTCACATAACCTCCTACCCTCAACACACAAATACATAAACGCATACTGGCTCATAAACACATAAATACACGCACACAGACATGCTCTCACGCACATTATTTATTCTCACAGATGCAGGCGCTTACACACACAAACACAAACACTCTCTGGCAACGTACAAACATGAACGCACACACGTACGCAATTGCATAAATTCACGCACGCACGCTCCCACACTTGTCAAGTAGCGTGAGCGTTAATACAACTACACAAAACCGCTTCCTTGACTTTCCTATCAATGCCTCCTCAGAAGGTGTTCCTGTGGTGAACTATCGAAGTCATGGGTGGCGACACAACGACAGAAGTGGGGAAAGAGGGGGTGTGTCGGAGTTGTGAAACTGCGTACACACCCCTTAAGCCATCGATACCGACATTAATCTATGAAGCAAACATAAAATCAAACTTGGTTTTATTATTTTAACAGTTCTTGTTACCGCTGATAATAGTCGTCGTCATCGTAATCGTCATCGTCATCACCATCATCATCATCATCATCATAGTCATCATCGTCATCATTATCATCGTCATCATTATCATCGTCGTCGTCATCATCAATATCATTATCGACGTCATCATCATCATCGTCATCATTATTATCGTCGTCGTTCTCATCGTCATCATCATCGTCATCATCGTCGTCGTCATCATCATCGTCATCATCATCGTCATCATCATCGTCATTATCCTCGTCATCATCACCATCATCATCGTCATCGTCATCATCATCATCGTCGTAATCATCACCATCGTCATCATCGTCGTCGTCATCATCATCGTCATTATCCTCGTCATCATCATCATCATTATCATAATCATCGTCATCATCATCATCGTCATCGATATCAACATCGTCGTCATCATCGTCACCATCATCATCGTCATCAATTTCCACTTACGCCATTAAGTGGCGTGAGATGGAACAGTTTGCGATCTATTGCTTGATGAGCAGAAATGGCAATTGTCATTGCGTGTCGATGTAGAAGCTCTTTAACGTCATCAATCCACTTTCTTCAATGGCAACCTCTTGCTTTCATATTAGATGTGTTCACCTATAACGCGTCTCTTAGTAGCTGCTGCTCTGGTTGTATTTTAGCGAGATGGCCAAACTATTTGATCTCAGTTTTTTTGGCGCATCGTTTTGTCTTCAGAGTCCGTCTGATAGTGTTACTTCTCACTTCCTTTCTGATGGTTATCTGTGGCTTAGGCGTTGTGAACGTGCTTCGTAATGCCGGGGTGCCGGCTTCGATCCAAGCTGCGCACGGTTTATCTTGCGTTGTTTCGACAGTGGTACCGAGAGCTGACCGTTCAGACGAAATGGAAAAACTACTGAATGTAAAATTTGTCTAGAAAAAACTGGGGTTGGTTCTGCAACGTCCTGTAAAGGATACGCAACTACCTTTTTTCTGAGGATTACGTTGTGGCTTTTCCTCGGGCATCTCATTTTACAGGTGTTGCTTTAACGTAAGTTAGCCTTTGATAATGGAAGTTCTCGTGGTGTAGCGGCTAGACGCTCGCCTGCAGATTGGAAGTTCGTGGGTTCGAGTCCTGGCAGAGTCAGACTTTTTATCAACAATAACCTTGGCTCCCAGGTCGACCCAGCCTTGAGTGAGTTCCAGGTGTAATCCTGGGAAGTAAAGGCGGCTGACCACATCACTCTAAGTGTGGACTGGTCTATAAAATGTAGCTCTAGCTGTACATGGCGAATACGCCTATTGGCGTGGAAAAGGGTCCTTCACTCTACCTTTTATTCTTTGAGAATAATAATGTCTGGCACTGCTAGCACAGTACTGGTGTGAATATGCTGTTTATAACCTGTTTCGTGGCAGCTATTCTTGTTACCAGTGTGTACACATGTACCGTAGGCTAAAAAGGAACTGGGAGACGCCGTGCAGCTAGACGATCGCCTGCGGATCAGAAGGAAGTAAAGGCCGCCGGTGTGATGCTGACCACATTACCCATCTGTTGCTATTGGTCTATAAAATATAGGTCTCGCCCTATATACCCAATACGCTCTAAAGACGTGGAAAAGGACCCTTTACTGTACCCTAAATGACAAACTGAAAGACGATAAAATGGCTGCCAAATGGTGACCACATATAAGCTACTCCGGTAAAACACACCATTTCTGCATATCTTCTTCTTCTTCGCGTTCACCAGCTGTAAACTCTGGTGTAAAGTTCTGGTTGTTCGTCCACTTCTGGACTGCAGTCCTGTTCCAGAACCTGAGTGTTGCGTGTGCATCAGTTTTACAGATCTGATTCAATTGAATGCAGACTGCTGGTTCCTTGCCTCTCAGGCAGATGCACTCCGACTTCAAAGGAAGCTCCCCAGTTAGTCGACTCTTACGACATGCTTTTGGGGAGGCAGTGGGCTTATTCTTGTTTTCCCCACAATAGGGCCCCGGAACCCACACGGGGGATTTCTGCATATAATATAACTGCTTTTTCAAGGACACGACCCAAGTTCTTTTCCCGCCTCGACGCTGAAAAGTTCGTCTGGAAATTCAATAAATCTGGCACAGGTCTCATGACCTTTACGGTGTTTCCTTCAGCTTGTTGGATTTTTGTCTTACACAGGTTCTCAGATTAAACATGTTTTCCTTTGATCTCATCACTTTGGGCACGAATATTCTCTAGAATGACTCGTCATCTACTCTACTATCATCATCAACACCATCATCATCATAATTATCTTTTTCCGAAAACTATGTTACGTTACCTGCGGTTCTAACTTCAGTTGCCAAAGCTAGAGGTAAACAGGTCGATTTTATGTTTAACAGCGGGTTTTGAAGTTAAAGTTTTCGTCACAATGTTATCTAATGTTGGCTTTTTTCTTCTCCTTCTCCTCGTTCTCCTCATTCTCCGTCTTCTTCTGCTGTTTCTTCTTCTTCTTCTTTTAATTATTTCTATGGCTGCTTCTTCTTTATCATCATCTTCTTCTCTTTTTAATTTATTATGGCTTCTTCCTCTTCTTCTTCTTCTCCTTCTTCTTCTTCTTCTTCTTCTTCTTCTTCTTCTTCTTCTTCTTCTTCTTCTTCTTCTTCTTCTTCTTCTTCTTCTTCTTCTTCTTCTTCTTCTTCTTCTTCTTCTTCTTCTTCTTTTTCTTTCTCTTCTTCTTCTTCTCCTTCTCCTTCTCCTTCTCCTTATCCTTATCCTTCTTCTTCTTCTTCTTCTTCTTCTTCTTCTTCTTCTTCTTCTTCTTCTTCTTCTTCTTCTTCTTCTTCTTCTTCTTCTTCTTCTTTCTTCTTCTTCTTTCTTCTTCTTCTTCTTTCTTCTTCTTCTTCTTCTTCTTCTTCTTCTTCTTCTTCTTCTTCTTCTTCTTCTTCTTCTTCTTCTTCTTCTTCTTCTTCTTCTTCTTCTTCTTCTTCTTCTTCTTCTTCTGCTTCTGCTTCTTCTTCTTTTCTTCTTCTTCTTCTTCTTCTTCTTCTTCTTCTTCTTCTTCTTCTTCTTCTTCTTCTTCTTCTTTTCCTCCTCCTCCTCCTCCTGATCCTCCACCTTCTTCATCTTCTCCTCCTTCTTTTTCTTCTTCTTCTTCACATGCCCCTAAACTGGCCTTTGGCACGGTGTCGCTTACATCTAGGCTGCGATATCTACTCATTTCGCTCCAACACATTCTATAATATCAAACTTCCTATTAAGTTCATTTACAATATTTGTCTGGGGGTAGATGCCCTATTATTCTTCCCAAAATGGAGACATGGCTCAAACACAGGGAAGCTGCTTATAAACTTGACTTCTTTGTTACACTCAAAGATGTCTAGCGGACTACTTTCAAACTCGACTTTTTGAGAACTATTCCAGTGAGCTATGATTAAAAGTGTTAACGACAAGGGGAAAAGGAACAATGGGCACAAAACAGAGAAATCGACGTTTTAGCCTGAGTCAAGCAACAAGGGCAAACTACTCCAACCACTAGTGTCCACCAGGGGGTCACGTGATAAAGTAGTAGGGGAAAAAACTCACGATCCTTTGAACAAACAGAATAAAATAACAATTTAAAACTAAATTAAAATACGAAAAATAAAACCTTTTTGATGAAGGTAGGCTAAAAATTGGTACCTGCTAGACTTAGTATACCTAAACTATGGATGAGGCGATTTTACTGAGAAAAACTCATGGTTTCATCACCAGAGCAAGATTTTATTGCGGTGACACATATATCCTCTTCGCCTCTGTGGTCAGAACTATGAAAATATTAAGGCGTTTAATTGCGTATCCTCTTTTAAATATCTGAGACGATCAGCCAGCTTCCTGCAAGTTTCCACAAAGTATGCCTTGTAGTTTTTACAGATGATAGCGTAAGTCGGGTTACGGAATTCACACGTAAATGCTTCCCTAACCTTGAAAGAACCATTAATGAAACTAACGGGTGAGGTCTGGAAAACGAATGGGCATCTTATGCACTGAGTGTGAGAGCAGCCCCTAGTCCCTAGAAGCTTGACTGCAGTCTTCCCTTTTGCCCAAAAGAAGTACTGTGCTGATCTTCAGGAGTCAGTTTCTGGAGATATATCCTTCTGGTCGCGGTCTCGTCTGTAGACTTATCTAGACTTCTCCCTGAAGATCCTCTGGGTGTTTAGATTCGGGCGAAGGATGTCCAAGTGGCGAAAGAATATTTTGGAAGCAGTCGCATTTTAGGGTCCAGTTTGGGTCCATCACTAGTGGAGCTGAGTTTGGTAGGAACAGCATCGCTCCGAACAATGAGAAGTACGACAAGAGATCCCAGCTGATCTGTTTCTAAAATTATTATCACAACTCCGTCCTTAGCTGACGGTGAACTTTTTAACTTAGCGAAACTTCAAACGGCAACCTATCTATCTTTGTCTTCTTTTACCCCTCCAGGACATCACACAAGCGATAAAGACCTGATGACACAAGGTGCCACCATGTGGATGAGAATCACCCGTGGAGAGATTTTAGAAACTACGTTCAGCCATTAGATAATATCTATGGTCAGGCTATATTGCGGCCCCTGACAAGAGCCAGGATGGGGCTTCAAAATAACGAAAAATTGCATCCCACAAGGGGATGAGTAGATAATTAACAAACGCTTAATGTGGGTATATATATACAGGGCATCCGAGTGACTGACTTTCTACCATACCAGGAGATCACACAAGCGATAAACACCATGTGAAACCATGTGGATGAGGATCACCGTGGAGAGGTCCCAGAAACTACGTTCAGCCATTAGACCATATTTATGGTCGGGCTATATTGCGGCCCCTATCAAGAGCCAGGGTTGGGCTTCAAAATAGAGAAAAATTGCATCTCACAAGAGGATGACTGGATTTAAGAGTAAACGGCATCCAGAAAGGACGCGACCGTAAGGGACACAACCCATTGATTATGTACGTTCACACAATAGTGTTCTGAAACATATAATATAGCTTCAGGTTAATGTTAGGGTTTGGGTTTGAATTAGGGTTTGTGATACTGTTAGCCCTAACTCTAACCCTAACCCTAACCTCAAACAATATTAAATATTTAAGAATATTAGTATGTGAACTTTTAAAAACAATAAATTACGTCCCCAGCGGTCAGCACTTAAAGTATTATAAAATTACAATAGATTGCGTCCCCTAGAGTCGCCGTTTGTAGCTTTGCTCTTGACTTTTTCAACAGTTTTAGCCGAACTGATGGTATGGTAACTTGCTGATTGTTTCGATACCTTACAGGGTGATAAAAAGAGAAGAGAAAAGAAAAAGAAAGGAGGGAGTGGTGTCTACTAAACTTGACTTCAAAGCTTCATTGACATCTTAAAGAGGGAGGGGAGGTCATACTAAAAACCTTAACTTCCCATCTACTTTAACATTGGAGTGGGGGTGGGGTGGGTGGTGTTATAAAATATGGTGGTCTTCCTAAACTGACAGAGAGGCGAATTTTGCTAGGCTA